ATTCAGGGTTGTCACAATGACTAGGGATTGCCACTGGGCTTTAGCAGACAAGGCCAGGATGCTGAATGTCTGTGCAGAGTGGGTCACGCCTGTCTAATGAAGAATCGCGCCACCTGGAATAGGGTCTCGGTTAGAAAAGTCTAGGGCAAGAAAGGGGAGGAAAGTTGTTTGGGATAAAGAGGGTTTAGAATAAAGCAGGGATTTACCCACAACCTCTGTGGGTAACAGAGTGGGAGGCAACTGAAGGGATTCAGGTGGAGGTGGCAGGAACCGGGAGAGAAGCCTGCCCCAGAGCAGCAGATGTGGCTTTAGGGATGCAGGAACTTGAGGATGGGGACCAAAAAATGAGGCAAGCACTGGAGGAGAGAAACTGGCAGTGTGACGGAAGCAGAAAAGGACAGCTCATTAGGCAGGAGGATCTGAAGGAAACGGACCCGCGTCTTGAGACCTGAGCCGGCAGGCAGATTCCACCGGTTACAGACAAACCCACAAAGGAAGCCTGTGGAGAGGGCGTAGTGGCAGGAGGGCTGTAATGAAAACAATTTTGCAACCTTAGTTATAGCATTGGCCAACCTTAAACTATAGCTATTCTGCATTTAAATATAGCATTGGCTCTGGAGAAGACTCAGAAGTCTTTATTTTTACTGATCCAATTGGCTGTTTTGAAAACCCACTCTGTGAACCCTGCAGAAGATAATCATCAAAATATGTTCCTGAAAGTGCCCAGAGAAAGACCTTTTATTTAATTCCTCGAATCTCTCCCCCTTGCTGACTCAGATGGAAGAATGCGGTCCCAGAAAGGTGAAAGAGCGAACCAAGGACACATTTTTGGTCAACCAAAAGAAAGCCAGCATCGGCGACCACAGTTGAGTTAGCAGTTGGTTGACAGGTCTGGGCTGTTTTTTTTTTTTTTCTACCCTCAAAGGGAAAGCTGAACCAAGCTCAACCCCAGTGGAGTCAGTGGCCATGCTTAGCAATGCACCAAGGCATGCACCTTCCATTAAACTTGCTACATGGCTCTGTGGGAGCAGAGGCTTAAAAAAAAAAAACAAACAGGAATTTCTCCTCTTGTGTCTATCCTTCTTTCTGGAGTTTGAGATGGATATTATGACCTAGTGGATGACAGGAAGAGAGAGGCCTTTTCAAATCTCTACTGGTAGCCACCATTTTATAGGTCTGGGCTTGCAACCATGGCCTTGACCTTCACAGGCTACTTAACGTTTTTTCTAAGCACACCGCTTCTTCATTCAAACATACTCTAACCAGAACAATCTTGGTATAATATCATGAGCTTCTGCTTGCAAAGGACTCGGCTTCTAAGAGCCTCACAAATGCTTTGGATTATGTTCTCAGTAAGTGAACGAGGCTAAAGTAGCAAGTTGCTATAGAATTCCAGACATAGGTGGGTCAGGGGTCCCCATGGTCCAGGGCTTAGTATTGGAAGACAGGAAATCCAAGGGATTAGAGGGAGAAGATTGTTTTGGGGATTGGGGAGGGCTGTGAGTTATGGAGCTGAGATGTCAGTGGAGGGAAGGTGGCCAAACACCCATGGTCCCCTGGTCTAGAGCGATCCGAGATCCTCGCTGGCAGCTGCTACTTCCCTTCCCATGGGCCACCACCGGAAAGCCGGAAAGCCGTCGTTAGGAATTTCCACTGGCTAACAATTGCTAATTTGGGGGGTTGTCCACTGGGAGAGCTGGTTATAACAAACCTCTGTGTTTTTGAGAGGGTGTTTGCTGAAGGCTGGTGTCAGCCTTGCTTGATTTAAGTCATCCCAGATTCCCTGCAAAGGCTATAAACAGTGAAGTGATGAAATTGGCCCCGGAGCCAGAACAGGGAGGAGGCCCAGTCATAGGGGAGGGCAGAGGAGCTCATCACGGATGGAGAGAAATGAGGATCAGGCCCGAGGAGGCAGCTCTGCTCTAAGGGATGGAAGGACCCGGGGCGGTGGTGAATACAGCACACAGCGTGGTTCTGGCTGGGATCATCTCGGGGTGAGAAGCCATGGCTAGTAGGGTGAGGTTTTGGTCAGACGGGAACAGAAGGCACCAAGAATTCCCCTGCCTTGCCCCAGGCATTCGTTTATGGGAAAGAGATTGTAATCCTGGTGACCGCCCAGGCCAGGCTTCCTTGTAAACTGTTGGCAGACTGATGATGGGACAGCTGTCCAAGGAGAGCTGAAAGTGATGCTTCTTACGATACTCATGCAAAGGAACTTCTCATGCGTCCTTCCTTCTCCCACTTTACCCTCCAAAGCGCTTGCCCGCACACTCCCAGCACACATGCACTAGTGCCCCAGAAAGCAAAACCTACCTGGAATCTCCTGTTGCAGAGAGGAAAATCTGGATTTAGGAAGCTCTGCCACTGCCTGACTCTATGACCTTAGCCAGGCATTAAAAACCTCACAACACACATACACAGGCACACATACACGCACACTTATGGGCAAACATGCATGTGCACACGTGCAAGCACAGGCACACACAGGCATGCACTCATACACATGTACATGCACAGGCATACAGGCATGCACACATACATGTGTGTACATGCACAGGCACACATACAGGCATGTACACATACCCGTGTACATGCACTGGCACACACAGGCATGCACATACTCACATGTGTACATGCACAGGCACACACAGACATGCATGCATACTCGTGTACATGCACAGGCACACACCACAGGCATGCACATATACTCAGACATACGTACATGCACAGGCACACAGCATAGGCATGCATGCATACTCACACGTGCGTAGTACACACCCTCATGCACACGTGCACACACATAAACCATTCAGTTTCCTCATCCGTCAAATCAGGAGAAAATGTTCTTACTCTGTCTCTCAGGCTAACTGTAGGGATCAAATGGGATAACAGATGTGGGAGCTTTTCAAAGTCCTAACCCCCAGGTCTGCTTTGTCCCCCCAGATTTATTCAGTCTCTGGGATGGAGCTCTGACTGATGTTGTTCCCTTGAAAGTGCCCCACAGAGCTTCACAGGCAGGCATAGAACTGCTACTGGAAAGCGTAATACCAGATCCTTCATTGGTTCACTTGAAATTGTGTTTGTTGAGCCTTTCTCTGTGCCAGCCACCATGCTGGGGCATTGGATAAAGCAGAGAACAAGACAGACGCAGTCCCCACCCTCAGAACTGAAGTGCTGGGGAAGAGGGCTGCTACATGAACAGGAGAGGCACATGGCATTCTTCCACAGGAGAGCCCAGGGTGTGTGAGGTGTGGGCAACGGGCCTTACGCTAGTCTGGGAGCTCAAGAAAGACTGCTGGGGAAGTGATGTTTAAGCCATGCATGAAGGCCAAGCAGAGGGCATTCATGGCCATGATGGTGGCATCTTTAATTTGGGGTCACCCTCGGTCCCCTCCCTACTGAGTCCACTCGGAGCTGCTTTTGCTTACCTGCGTTGCTGGCTGACTGCATCTCAGCTCCCATGTTGATCACAATGGCTGTGGTATGGTATTCGGACTGCAGGTGCTCGTGGGTCTAGGATGCAACTCAAGATGCCCATCAGTCATGGTCAGGAGCCCCTGAGGCTCCACAGCTCATTCACGCACCACTGTCTTCTTATCTTCCCACTGACCTTGTAATTGCAGAAGCAAGACTTCTTAGCACTTGGTGGAACCTTTGCTCATTACCTCAAGTTAGTTGTAGGTATGGTAGAAAAGATTTCTGAGTTCACATCTTGGCTTCACCAATCCTATTCTGTGTGCTGCTAAGCAACATTCTTCAGTTCCCTGAACCTCAGTCTTTCTGTCCATAAATGTGATACTTTGGACTGTAGAGTTTATAAGGTGTTGTGAAGATTGCCTTGAGGCAAAACCCAGCACTTTATTGCATTAAAAACAAAAAAGGAAAAGAGCAGAATTTGTAGCTGCTTCTTCTAGGATTACCAACTTAAAATACTCTCTGGTTATAAAATGTAGCCATTAAATAAACTACAGACATACAGCTAAGTGCATAGTCAAAGGTGAAAGAAAGCAGGGAATCCTTAAGGACCCAAAAAACAAGCAAAGAAAGAGAGAAAGAGAAAGAGAGTGAGAGGGAGGAGAGAGACAGAGAAAAAGAAAGGAGGGAGGGATAGAAAGAGAAAGAAAGGGAGAGGGAGGAGAGAGGAGGAAGGGAGGGAGAGAAACGGAGAGGGAGGAGAGAGATAGAGGAAGAGAGAAAGGAGGGAGGGAAGGAGAGAAGGAAAGGAAGGAGAAAGGAAAGAAGGAAGGGAGGGAGGGAGGAAGGGAGGGAAGGAGGGAGGGAAAAGCCAAGTGTTACTTACAAGGCGTGGGAGTTGAAGGGTGTCTGAGGAACAAGAGCAATCTTCTGAGGGAGGGATACATCATTTAGGTCTTAGTTACAGACCATATAGTCCCAGGGAATAAGCACTGAATCAGCCTCTGGCAGGAGACCTTCTTCTCCTAAGGTCCCTTGACACGCTAGCAAGTCCTGGGTAAAACGGTGTGAGACAGGGATCTGTACCCATCCTGTCTCCTCCCCTCTCTGGCCTCCTCCTCTTCACAGCCTCCCAGCTATGCTGGAGGCAGAGTCTTGGTGGGGACTGTGCTGGGGTCAGATTCAGCTTTGTCCCTAGAGAAGAGGAATACTGCTTGAGTGACCAAGTGTTGGGGAATAGAAGGATGCTAAGCCAGAGCAAGCAGCCAGCTCTTATTTCTCCTTACTCCACTTCCAGGTGTTGAGTGAGCTGCAGATAGAGCAGGGCTAGAGCAGGCGCTGAGCTGACCCGTGTGTCTTTCCCAGCGTGTGGGAAATTGGGATCTCTCCTTATCCAGAGGGTTGAGACATCCCAGCTCCTCAGCCGCCTAATGCCTATGGCCACTCCCTTTTTGCAGCTCACATCAGGCCACCTGGAGCGCAGTGAACTGGCTCTGGGGTAGAGGTGGGCCCAGGATGTGGGGACTAGTAAACAAAAGGAGATGACTGGGATGGCTTTGGGTCTGACGGCACTGGCTCTGTTATAGTGAGATCGGCCGGCGGTGATGGAGATGCCCTGTGCGTTACAGAAGAGGACCTGGCAGGTGACGACGAGGACATGCCGACCTTCCCGTGCACCCAGGAGGGTAAGGACTCTGGGGCTGCCCCTCATCTCCCCTCTGGGCTGAGAGATCCCTGTCTCCATCCCCAGGCCAGTGAGAGACTTGTCTCTTCAGGTGGTTTCAGAAGCCTGACTGTCCTTTCCCACTGCTTCCTGGATGTGAAAGGGCAGAGTTCATGGCTCTGGGCGTGCAGTACCAATGAAGTCAAAGGAGCTTTAAAATTTTTTCTAGACAACATGGTTTTGCTGTGTTGCCCAGGCTGATATGAGTGTGCAGCCATAGATCACTGCAGCCTCAAATTCCTGGGCTCAAGTGATCCTCCCACCTCAGCCTCCTAAGCAGCCCTAACCATAGGCACACACCACCATGCCTGGATACATTTTTTTAAATTTTTTGTAGATACGAGAGTCTTACTATGTTGCCCAGGCTGGTCTCAAACTCCTGGCCTCAAGTGATCTGCCTGCCTCCGCCTCTAAAATTGCTGGTGTTGCAGGTGTGAGCCTCTGTGCTTGGCCTGAAATCAAAGCTTGACACAAGTGTTGCCTGTCTCCTAGGCTCCTACCAAGACCCATCAAGGACTTCTGCCATCTCCCAGAGCCACATACCCTGTCCCTGGGCCTGTCTTCCAGCTGGCTGGGACCATCCACTTCACTGGATCCCAGGCCACGCACAGTGCTGTTTGGAATGTGGTCTGTCGGTGGCTTTGGTGTGGATTAGAGCAGTTGTTCCCAACCCTGGCTCCTCACTGCAATCACCCATGGATGCGTGAGACCAGCCCTTGGAAATTCCGATTTATTTGGCCTGAAGTGTGAACTGAGCATCAAGATTTTTAAACGTCCCAGTACTCAGAAAGTGCAGCTGAAGTTGAGTTCACCGTAGGAATTCGCAGCTCTACCATCGCTGCATTCGTGCGGCCTGTTGGCCACCTGCCCACGCATTCAGGAACATCTGGCTCCCTCCTTCCTTTTTACCAGCAACTCAACTGGTGGACCGCGACTATTTGTTTGGTTTCCAGGAGAATATCTGGTTCCCTGAAAAGTTTGGGGACTGGACACCAACCTTCTGGTTTTCCAGGGACTAAGGGGATCCCCAGGGTGTGGGACTTCCCATTTTCTTTTTTATTTTTTTAAATAGAGATGGGATCTTGCTATGTTGCCCAGGCTGGCCTCAAACCCCTGGACTCAAGTGATACTCCTGCCTCAGCCTCCTAAAGTGCTGGGATTACAGGCATGCACCACTGCACCCAATGGACCTTCAGTTTTAAAACCTAGACAATCTTAGCAAACCAGGATGATCTGCGCCATGCTGTGGCGTTCCTATGACAGGAGACTTTCATTGCTAAAACCCAGAAGGTCTTGGGCAAGCCCGGGCAAGTTGGTCACTCAGTGGGGCCTCGGGCTGGCTGCCTATGCTGTGGGTCATCAGTAGGATCAATGGAGAGAGAAGAGGTGTTTCCCCTCCCATGGACCGAATGAAGACACCATGGAGAGAGTATGGGGGCTGTTCTTTGAAGTCCCGACTCAACTCAGTCTCCTGCATTCCAGAAAGCACCAGCACCTAGAGAAAGGCTATAGGACAGATAGAGAATGAGAGTCGAGAACAGCTCCCCTTCTGAGCCTGGTTAGAATGTGATGAGACAGGCCAGAGCAGGAACATGGAACTGGTCCTTCAACTCCAGCCTGGTCCACTGGCCTAAGCTATTGTCCTCCTTATGTCCCCCACAGGCCAGCCGGGCATCCGCTGCAGCCGCTGCCAGAAGAACCTGTCTTTGCACACGTCGGTGCGGATTCTTTACCTCTTCCTGGCCCTGCTCCTGGTGGCCGTGGCTGTGCTAGCCTCTCTGGGTGAGTCCGGGACGTGCCCATCCCAGGCTGCAGAGGGATGTCTGGTCAGGGATCCGGCACCAAAAGCTTCCTTGCAAAGACAAACACTTGACATCTGTATCCCAGGGCCTAGAGCCAGCGTCTTCCTGGCTAGGGAATCTCTATGCCTAATCCAGACTGCAGAGACTGGAAACTGACGAGGTCTGTGGCCTTGAGGAAGGCACCCACCTCTGGGGACCGCTGCTTTCCCACTGGTGTAATGAGATGATAAGACTGGGTCAGTGTTTCTCAGTTTCAACTCCATGTTGGAGCCACCTTGGAGCTTTAAAGAATGTTGATGTCTGGGCCCCACCCCGATCATGGAATTAATTCGGTATCTTTCAGCTCTCCTGATTCTGTTCACAAAGGCTTGAGATCACTGGATTGAGTGACTTCTAAGCCCCCTTTCATGGTCTACGTGAGTGTTTCTCATAGTGAGGCTGGACGCCCAACTGCAGCAATTTCACCTTCAGTGTTTGTTAAAATGTAAATTCCTGGGTCTCAACCAGCCAGACCTGCTGAGACCAAGGAATCTGGGGGTTCCTGCAGATGAGATCCAGCGATCTGAGGTTTGGTTCTTCTCATACACATTAGAGTTTGTAGTAACTGACCCGGGTCACCCCACATAGCCAGAGACAGGTCACTTCCACCTTCCAGATGCTGACAGATTGTGGTAAACTGGTTACAGCAAATTTGGTGGCATCTCACTGTAATCCCATTCCCATCTTAGCTTCAAACTTTGAAAATCCAGGCTCCGGTAGGTTTGCTTGTTCCAATCTACTGGATTTTAGAAACAAGGCCGGGAGTAGGGAGAGGGAGTCAAGGCTTTGAGGGGGGCTTCCCAGCTCTCATGTGGACGCTGAGCCTGCATGTCCCTGAGGGGAGGCGCCTCATCCTGGTCCTGGCTGGAGATATTCGGCAACCAGCCTTCTTAGCTTGAAGGCAAGAGGCCAGCATGCTAATGATCTCAGTAGACATAAGTTGTCTTCCAGTAATCCGAAGGCATTAATTAATCCAACACAAGCCGAGCGCCTGCTCTGTGCCAGGCTCTGGGAATGCTGGGTTGCGTCAATTACATTTCACCATCAAGGGGTGTGGTTCTTCCCCCTCGTGGGGGGATATTGGAATCCCTTGAAAAGCATTTAAAAATACATGCCAGAGTAACCCCCCTCCACTGACTCCAGATGAATTAAATCATAATCTCTGGGTGAGACCCAGGCCTTAGTCATTTATAAATCACCTTAGGGGATACCAATGTGCAGCTAGATTTAAGGACCTAGGGTTCTAGACCTTCCCAAGCCCCTCACCACCTGTCTCTGCTAAATCAATTCACAGGGCCTGGCCTTTCAGAAAGTGGCCAAAATCCTGGGCCAGAGGAGGGAAGCAGCCACAGTCTTCCTATCAGAGGCCGCAAACTAGCTGTCAGAGAACTTGTCAAGATTTCTCGTCACTCCTTTTAGGGCTCCAGCTCAGAGCACCCAAGGGACCCGGGGCCATTATCAAAGCTCCAAGAGCCACAGGCTCAGGCCCAGAGAAGAGCATATTAGGCACCAAAGAGTTTCAGAGAGGACGACAGGATTCGAGACGCTGTCACATACATAACGTTCATGAGTCAGCCTGGCAGGCTGGAGCAGGAGGCTGGCCCCACTCCTCTTGGGAGGGAACAGTCCTGGGGAGGAGATGTCATTTGCCCTGAGATCCAGCGTGAATGGACAGAGGATCAGAAGAACCGGGGTGAGGAGTGCGTGTTTGTGAAACGTGGGAGACCTTTGGGTTTCCTTTTTATGTTTTTGCCTCCAGCTTGGGTATGCCAGGTCCCTAGAACATTGTTGGCACCATCCTGGCCTAAATGGCAGGTGCCCAGTAATATCTCTTGAAAGAATGTCTATAGATTTGTAAAGCTTGTGTGTGTGTGTGTGTGTGTGTGTGTGAGTGTGTGAATAGACCTGCTCAATGCTTTACACCAGGACTGTGACCAAAGTCCGGAGGGTTGGGAAAATCAGTCAGCAGACATTACAAACCAACTCTGTTCATTGAATCAAGTACTTTTTTTGTAGTCAAGTGCATACTGGGGGCCAAGAACTATATTGTATACTGGGCAGCATATTGCTTGGGAAAACACAGACCCTGCCTTCATGGAGCTTATAATCTAGAGGTAGCTTGGCCATTTTTTTCTGTAAAGGGCTACGTAGTAAATATTTTAGGTTCTTCAGGTTACATTTGATCTTTTTCACAACCAAACTCTCATCGCAGAGCAAAAACAGCCACAGGCAGTCTAAATGAATAGGGGTGGCAGCTCCCATAAAACAGACGGATTTCACCAGCAGGCCATCATTTGCCACCCCCCAGTATAGAGCAGTGATCTCTAAACATTTTTGACTGTGCACACCATCAGTAAAAAATTCATTTAAAATGCATCCAAAGACCAGGCACGGTGACTCATGTGTGTAATCCCAGCACTTTGGGTGGCCAAGGTAGGCAGCTCACTAGGTCAGAAGATCGAGATCATCCTGGCCAACATGGTAAAAGCCCGTCTCTACTAAAAATACAAAAATTAGCCAGGTATGGTGGTGCATGCCTGTAATCCTAGCTACTAGCTAGGCTGAGGCAGGAGAATTGCTTGAACCAGGGAGTCAGAGGTTGCAGTGAGCTGAGATTGTGCCACCGCACTCCAGCCTGGCAACAGAGTGAGACTCCATCTCAAAAAAAAAAAAAAAAAATTCAAAACTTGACACAGATTGATGAATGGGTGAAAGAGATGGATGAATATAAAATAAATACAGAAAAATGCTACTTGTAGATTCTAGGTGATAGGCATATGGGTCTTCACTGTACAAGTCCTTCTATTCTTCTGTTTGAAAAATTTTATAATTAAATGTTGGAAAAGAAAAAGTTGATAGGCTCACACCTCCAAAATATACCTATTTATTTATAAGCTATGTATATGTATTATTTGCCATATTGTCTACATTATAAAACATAATTTTAAAGGGATGAAAAAACATCTAAAACGTTAGGAAAATGGCTTAAAAAGCAAATATGTAATTATTAATCCTGAAATACTCAATGAAGAAATAAGCAAGGCCAGATGCAGTGGCTCATGTCTATAACCCCAGCACCTTGGGAGGCCAAGGTGGGGGGATCACTGGAGCCCAGGAATTTGAGGCCAGCCTGGGCAACATAGTGAGACCCCATCTCATTTCAATTTAAAAAAATTGAAAATTAACTGAGGATGGTAACAAGTGCCGGAAGCCCCAGCTACCTAGGAGGCTGAGGTGGGATGATCGCTTGAGCCCAGGAGATTGAGGCTGCAGTGAGCCATGATCACAGCACTGTACTCCAGCCTGGGTGACAGAGGGAGACTCTGTCTCAAAAAAAAAAAAAAAAAAAAGAAAGAAAATGAACAGGTGAATGAATTGTATAGAATGGAGTGAGCCTTGGCTATTGACTTCGAAGTAGACTTAATGAAGCGTAGGAATAGGAATCAAAGTCTCTCAGTCTCTCTGTATCTCTTTTCATCTCTGCATGGGATCTTAATTAAAGGGAGGTTCAAATGGAATAATAGCTATTGTAAACTGTAAACTGCTGGTCTCATGTAACAGCATGTGATTATTTCTAAACTCTCTCAACATGTCGCTGTCACTAATTAAGTAAATCTCCTGATGGCTCTGAGGTGTACAATATTAACTGGAGCCTGGAGATTCCAAATAATTCAAAAGCATAGAGTTTTGGAGTTGATGAGAGCCTTCGAGTCATTGAGCTCCACATTTTCATTTTATATATGATTGCATTGAGCTCAGGAAAGGGAACTGACTTGCCCAAAGTCACCCGACAGATGTGAAGTAAACTACGACCAGAGCTGTGTTACTCAATGCTCTTGGTGGTGCTAATTCTTCCCTTTTTACTTGACCTTAAGAGGATCTGTGGGAAACATCTTGCTGAACCTCAGAACAACCCATGCCCTCCCTCACTACCAGGCCTATCCAGGTACCTGCCGGAGAAACCTGGGCGTCCTGCTGCTGCCAAGATGTGTTCCAACTATTGACCAACACGACCCCCTTAGGAGAGTGTGAGGCTGCCCGTGGGGTAGAAACTGGTGTAATCTTTTCTGGGCAGCAGTTTGGCAGCTTGTATCAAGGACTTCAAAAATGTAAATACCCTTATATCCATAAGTCCACTTTAAGCAATGTATCCCAAGAGAATTATCATAGACACACCACCATCATATATAAGGATTATTTCTAGAACTAAGCATTACATATATATATATATACATATTTGAGACAGAGTTTCGCTCTTGTTACCCAGGCTGGAGTGCAATGGCACGATCTCGGCTCTCGGCAACCTCCGCCTCCCGGGTTCCAGCAATTCTTCTGCCTCAGCCTCCCAAGTAGCTGGGACTATAGGCACGTGCCACCACGCCCAGCTAATTTTTGTATTTTTAGTAGAGACGGGGTTTCACCATGTTGACCAGGATGGTCTCAATCTCTTGACCTCGTGATCCACCCGCCTCGGCCTCCCAAAGTGCTGGGATACTTTACTTACATTTATAGATGAAGTTTTATTTATGAGCTCAGAAGAGGAGGTACTTTAAGTGTCCCCAACAATAGGGGATTCTTATATAATTGTTGTATTATTTATATAGAGTGCCATGCCGATACCAAAAGTAATTATTTTAAAGTGATTTAAGCTTGGATGGGAAAGTGTCCATGATATGATACCAACAAAGCAACATAAAAGAAAACAGATGAGATGTTCGGAGCATCCCAGGTTTGCTTTGCTTTTCTAAGAAAGTACAGTCATCCCCACCTAGCCACAGTTTCAGTTCCCCTAGGTCAGTCAGCAACATCATGGCTTGATAATCCCCCTTCTGACATAAGGCCAAGGTCAGTAGGAGCCCAACACTGAGTCACGATGCCTATATCACTCACCTCACTGTATCCCGTCACGTAGGCAAGGCGTCATCTCGTATCGGCACAAGAAGAAGGGTGAGTACAGTACAATAAGGTATTCTCAGAGAGACAGAGACCATACTTACATAACTTTTACTTTGCATATTGTTATAATAGTTCTATTTTATTATTAGCTGTTGTTGTTACTCTCCTACTAGGCCTAATATGTAAATGAGACTTTATCTTAAGTATGTTTGTATAGGAAAACACATAGTCTATATAGGGGTCCATACTCTGAGGTTTCAAGCATCCACTGAGGGTCTTGGAATGTATCCCCTGCAGATAAGGGGGAAACTGCATATGTCTGTGTAGCTGAAGAATGGTTATGAATGTAAACAAGACCAGAACAAATACTTGAAAACACTGATGGGAGCAATCTTTGGGTGGTAGGAATAAGAATAATTAAAAAAAAAATTTTTTTCTGAATTTTCCCTATTTCATTCTATGATCAGGTCCTAGTTCTAAAATGTGGGGTGGGGGGTGAGTTATTATGTTTTCAAAGGGCCTTGTGGCAAACTCTGGCCATAAGAAGCATGTTCTCTAACCACCATGAAGAAGCCTGAGAGGAGGAGGGGGAGAGGTTTTGGGTGCAGAGGAGCTGATAAAGATGCCGTCTCAAGGAATGACTACTGTTTCTCTGAGCTTAGACCCTGCCCCAGCTTCTTATCTGTTTTCCCTACAGTTTTCAGAAAAGTGGACTCTCTCTCCGAAGACATCTCCTTGACCCAGTCTATTTATGACAAGAAGCTTGTGCGAATGCAGAAGAATCTCCAGGGCCTGGGTAAGTGGACATGCTGATGATAACTGTGATATAAGGCCAGTGATCGTCAGGGTGGGGCAAGGTTGCCCTCATCATGCCACAGTGCCCCAGTGCCAGGTAACCTTTGCCAGCCTTGTAGACACAGAGGACATCCCCAGCTCCCTGCTCCCTCCCCAGCCGGGTCTCCATCCACTGGAGGAGGGCTGTTACCCTGGGATACTCCTAGGACCGGAGAGGGGGGTTCTGGGTGGAGCACAGCTCTAGGCAGAGTCTGCAGGCAGAAAAGGAAGCCAAGGGTGGTCCATTCCCAAAATAGCTCATGCATCTGAAATGATGAGAGTTTCAGGGCTTTGCAAAATCTTCTGCCAGGTCAACCCTTTCCTCATTATTGCCTTAAGCCATGCCACAATTCTTTTCTTTCTTCTCTTTTTTAAAATATATACCATCTCATCTATTTATTGATTTCTATAATTTCAACTTTTGTAATAGATTAAGGGATTCATGTACAGGTTTGTTACATGGGTAACACTGAGGTTTAGGGTAGGCATGATCCCATCACCCAGGTAATGAGCCTAGGTACTCAACAGGTGGTTTTCAGCCCATAACCCCCTCCCCGCTCCCTCATAGTGGATCCTGATGT